TGTGTGTTGGTTGGGGCCTGGGTCTTCTGCTAAGTGGTGTGCAGACTTCTGACCCACCAGGGAAGTGAATGTCACTCTCACAGTCATCTGCACATGTACACAGCACATTTTTACACACACATACACACTCTCATAGATGTATAACTGAGAATGAAAGCCAGGGCCAGAGTTTCTGCAGGACTCTCTCTCACACACACACATCACCAAAGGTCGAGGATGTATTTCTTGTCATAACATGGACAGGCATATTTCTGTCTCATGTACCTTTGGTCAGAGGCAGCAAGTAAAAAGAAGAAAAAAAAACACATCTAAGACACTAYGTCAGCTGTGAGTAAGATGAGCTTTGAATCCTGTTTCTGTGCTGGAAAACTGAAAATGAAATTCGTCCACGGCTTGAAAATTTTAACCTTTAAAACTGTAGTGAAGCAGAAATACAGTGCAAACAGAGTTTTTTGTTGCTTATGTCTAGATGAACATGCAAAGATTTTTTTAAGCTTCATTGTGCTCTTACAGACTCTGGCTGAACATCACAACTTCAATGTGCTTTTCCTTTTGCTCCCAATTCTCTTTATCCTGATGAGGAAACTAAAGAACAGCAATTATCCCCCACTTCAGAAGGTGCAATGGTGATAATGTTTTTGCCATTGTGTCTCCGCCTGTGTTTGTCTATCAACAAATTATTTTAGAAACAAGTGGATGGATTTTAATGAAATTCTGAGAAATTGATCACTGTGCATTTACACCTGATKAGCTTTTTGGAGCAAAAACCATTCAAAACCTTTCAAGATGGCCGCCTAATTTATCTCAACCAGCACAAGAAAAGGTTAGACCCTAAAGATGAGCTGAAGCTTGCTGAGGTAGAAGCTGGGAGGGGGCAATGCTGGGAATTTTGGTATCGATCCAATACCAAGTAAACACAGGGCTTGTATTGATGATTCTAATACTTGTTATGCTTTGATTGATGATAGATAGATAGATAGATAGATAGATAGATAGATAGATAGATAGATAGATAGATAGATAG